CCACAATGGTAGGTTAACAGTGTTTGGTAACTTACAACTATCTGATCCAAAAGGTTTCTTATTTAAGAAATATGACCTATTGACTTATTGTTAAATAAGTAAATAAATGAGTCAGTTACTGTGGTCACTTACTCCATAAAGTTAACCTCCACTCCACAGCTGCCCTGTCCTGACCTCTTTATGCATCTCAAAGGACCGAGCTGTCCCGGGAGAAGCTTGCTAATATACAGAATTGGACTCAAGGCCATCTGGGCGTTCAAAGCATTTGCAGACCTGGACAGATTTGTCCAGCCCAGCACCTCCTTGTGCTGCAAAAGGGATGAATTCTCCCTATGAGCTATCAACCAAGGCTGAACCTGGACGGGGGCATCCCACGAGTCACTTTTAACACACAAGGCAGGGATAATTTGTCCCAATCGGAACGTAGCCAAGGCAGAACCTGGACGCAGCAGGCATCCAGCTTTGAACTGAGAAGACAGGGCTCATTTGTCCCTACTGAATCTACTTTTACCACACAGATAATAAATAAAAGGAATAATGAAGACACTGAACACCATTTGACTGTTAAGTTGTACAATATTTATTCAGGACGATTCAGAGTCTTCTGTTGGTTCGAGTGGGCGAGCGCCCTGGCTTTTTCCCCTGGCAGGACGCCATGGCAGGACGCCATGGCAGCGTCCTCCTGCTGGTTCCCTCCTGGAAAAGAGACACATAAAGGGCAGTTAGCCAATGCCACACGTTCTGCTGTCCACGCCAAAGAGAATCTGATTTTACCAGGGGAGAGACGGGAGTCTCTGTCCTCTTGTGCCCTTTCCGCGGGGGGCTTTCAGTGCCTGCTGCCTCCCCATCCTCCTCCTCCACCAGGGCCCTTTCAAACAGTCTGCGGCGCTCGCGTGCTTGGAGAAGTCCGAGGTGAAGTGCATAGAACTTATCTGAGGTTGAAGTGTCATGGCACATGAATTGCGCCACCTTGCGGCGATCCTCTGAAGAGTGTGCATTCTTTGCCTGCGTCGGAGAGAGACAGAAGCTTGATTAGGACCGAAGCCGCCGCTGGTAGTTACAGGGGCGTCACATGCATACTCACATGGGTCGCGATCGCAGTCCATACTTCAGTAAAGGTGGGTTTGCCTGGAAGGCCCATACTGATCCAAGCAGACTGAAAGTACTTGTTCAGGGTCCGACAAGGACTGGCTCTGGAAGTGAAAAAGAAATAGGTAGCCTGGCTCCCTCCAGGGAGACCAGCCTGCAGCGCCAAGAACCTGCGGAACCAGCTGTATTCCTCCCTGTTTAGGGACAACTGCGCCGCCCCGAAGGCTCTGTTTGTCTTGTGCGTGGTAATCTGCCATCAGAGAACAAGCAGTGAGTGAGAGCATGCTACTGGTGACCCCCACCTTACTAGCGCCATACTCACGTTAATGACATAAGCAGACTCGTCGGGGCTTCTGGAGGCCTCTTCAACCTCCTGGATTGTGAGATTCTGGAAGACTCCACAGCGATGCCCAGAGATGGAAGTTAGGTAACCAGTCAGAAAGCCATAAAAGCGCCACTGTTGCCTAGTGCTTGGGTTAGACTCGAGGCTATCTGATGAAGGACATTAGCCAAATTAGACCACCGACGGTTTTATTTCCTCTCTGGTTCACCAACAGCTCTTGGCTACTGACTTGTTCTCCGGGGCGCCAGCAGCCCAACCAAGAGCTGCTGGTGGCCCGGAGAGGAAATGTTCGTTTCTTCTCCAGGGGCACTAGCAGTTCTTGGTTCAC